GTTTTTTAGAAAATTAAAATTATATATAAAATAAGGGAAATATTTTGGGGGATTGTGTTGTGGGCTACGGCCTTTGAGATTAGGAGAGTGGGTCCTACAAATATTTGCGGTTTCTACGTCTCATTCATCCAATGGCAAGCAAAGTGTACGGCTCCTTGTCAGCGTTGCTTTAGGCCTGTCCTTTTTGTTTTCCCCTTCCCTACTTGCTCTTTGGTTTAATTGGATTTCTTTTGTTTCCTTCAAGTTTTGTAATTATATTTGATTATATCTCATAATTAATATGCTAAATTGATATATATATATATATATATATAATATAAATTTCATAGGACATATGTAGTTAATATAATAATAATCAATAATTAAAACAAAGTAATAGTAACATTTAGTAAATACTTTTAAATAATAAAGTATGGTTAAAAATTATTATCAATGTTATCTTAAATATTATTATATAAAATAAATAATTAGGTATAATGGCTATTACGAAGAAGAATGATGGTGTCCAACCAAGACTTGGTTTGAGCATATTGCTTACACAAATTCGACGAGGCATCAAAGTTAGACATTAAACTGAGATGCAAACTCGTTGAAAGTAAAAGAATTCATGATGTTATTGTCTCTCGAGTAACTTAGAGTTCAATGTCATTCCCCCATATGAAAACTAATTACGAGTTTAATCAAGTATAAATAAAGAATTTTGTAATATTTTATCATATTCACTTATAGTTAATTTGTATAAATTAAAATTTAAATGTTTGTATTTTGGTTATATGGTACGAGAGGCTATTAAGTTTTAAAATATGTTAATTTTATATAATTATTAATTTATTTACGATTGCAACTTTATTATTTTGATATGATATATCTATTATCACTTTTAAAAAAATATATTTATTGTATTAAGTTTGTGATATTTAAATTTACCATTATCGTCAAGTTAAAATATTTTTTAAAATATTATTTAATTTTTTTTTATTTTTTTCACACATTTTTATTAAACTATTTATATAAAAGTTTTTTAACTTATAAATATTAAATAATAATTAAATACGTATTTTATGATTATTCTATCTATAAATTAAAATATAAATAGATTATTGTAAAGTTAAATGTACAAATATATCTAATTTAATTATATATTAAATATATAAATTAAGATTATACATCAAACATAATTGAAGTATAGAAAATTAGTCCACTAATACGTAATTAAATATTAACTTAAATACTAAGTTCGTGATTCGAATATCTTGGTTGAAGTCATAAATATTTTTTTTCTCTCTTAAATTCTCCAATCATTATGTGAATTACCTGAATTTTAGTTATTGAAAAAAAAAATATGTGAAACTTAAAAAAATTAATTAAAATAACTCAATTTATTGAATTTTTAAAAGAAGAAAACAATTAAATTATTGTTTTTTTAATTAATAATGAATTTAATTATAATTGTACATAAATTGTTTAATTTGATAATATCATCTCCTTCCATCTTGGGAAGCTGTGGGGTCTACATTATGACATCAACTTCCATTAATTGTTACAAATAATGCTGAGAACAGTATACCCCAATATATACAATTTTTTTTATATATTTTATTTAATGTTGAAAATTTCGTAATTTTATAAAAATATGAACGAATTAAAATGGTTTTTATAAATTTAAGTATTAAATTAAAATAAGAAAACTTAAAATTTTATTAGTATATAATAAATAATTTAAAATATCAAAATGAATTAACGAAGCCCAATAAAATGAACAATCATAATTTTTAAAAAACATTTCAAAAAATAATAATAAATTTTATTAATATTATAAAAATTAAACATGGGGGAAGATACTGGAGAGAAGAAGAAGAAGATATAGTGGCCAATAGGAAGTGCGTTTCTGAGAAATGCTGCGTCTCGCCGCATTTGGCGCGGGCCCCACCGGACCTCTCCACTTCAAATTGGGGCCCACTACCACCTCATCTTCCACCCACTTGCTCGCTGCTATTCGATACCCTCACTTATCGTGCCGCTGATTCTCTGTGCAACCATAGTCAAAACTAAATTAAATGATTGGTTACCATTTATACGATTCACCAATATAGTTTTGTAAATTACTAGCCACTAAAAAAATCAACATGATTATGAGTATTATCTGCACTTGTTACATTTTCTTTTTTCAAATGACTTAAAAAATAAAGTTGCATATAACATGGCCAACAGCTTATGTCAACCATGGTTTTTACTACTGTTATTATTTTGACTCATTCCCACCTTGCTTATCGTGTATATATGTGGAATTAAGCTGTTTGAAGAGTCCTACTACGTGTGTGTGTGTATATATATATATATATATATTAGAGTTCTCCAATAAACCTAACTTTCATAGTCCTCTCGCAATTAGTACTTCATAATCGTTGGTATGTATATTAGATTCCATTAACGTAATTTGACTGATTAAATTAATAAATAATATGTTTAAATAATAATGTAAATTTAGCATCTTAATATAAAATATTATTACACGTGTTAATATTTTTTAATTAGTATAATATATTTTAAAATTTGAGCACATCGTAATATGTATTAAATTTATTTTAAATAAAAGTTAAAAAATTAATTTTTTTTCTTAAACTATATGATTTAGGTAATTTAAAATTATAGTTAATTTAAACCAATTGTCGATATAATTGACACGAGGCGTGTGATATTAATTTTTTGAAAATATATTTATATATATATATATATGTGTGTCTCATTTATTAATGAAAAAAATGGGGATAAATAACATGGTCATGAGTAATTACCACGTCATGCCTCATGCCTTCCATCTCGCTAAGTGATTATTTTAGAATTAAATAAATATTTAAACTACGAGACAAAAATTAAAGGCAATAAAGTATTAGACATAACACGAGGAAGGAGAAAATATTATAATTAATTAATTAATGAATTAGATGAAAATTAGAAGATGTGTGACGCGGATTTCACCAACGTTATCTCTCTGTCAATGAAATTAGGTAGCCACGACAAATTCCAAGCTTCTTGGTAGCCAAATGTGGGACCCCATTTCTCCCCGTATAATAAATTATATATTAAATTAAGTTACATTATATTTTTTTTCCATTTGCAAATTTACCCATAAAAATTACTTTTAATCCTTATGGTTTACCAAATATAAAATTTTGTTATTTCATAAATAAAAAAAAATTACTTAATTTAGGGTTAAATGACATACATACAAATATTTAAATTAATGGTTGTTAATTATTTATTTTATTTAAATTAACAAATTTAATAATCAGTTAACTAAAGTTATTAATAGCTGTAACATTTTTACGTACTAAAATTTAATTTTTTCGACCAATCAAAAGTAAATTATTGGGAATGAAACTTAAAATTTTATGAATTAATCATGCGCTTATTTGAATTTTATTAAAAATTTTATTTTTACTTTTTTTAACGCTTTATTTATTTATTTATTTTAGTGGTAATTGAGTTACAAATTTTTTAAGTTAAATTAACTTTATAATTATTCACATTCCTGTTTAAATTAAAAAAAATTTAATGTTAATTTTCGAGTAATAATAAAAAAGAAAATTAGAAGTTAAATTAAAAGGCAAGTTGGGAAGCAAGTGGAAACTTTGGGGGGGGGGGGGGGGTCTACTTTTGAAAGTTGATGAAGCTGACGTTATCATCCCCTTGTAAATGTTTGTTGGCTTTTGAGATTCTCCGAACGTTGGCATATTATTATTATTATTATTATATAAAAACACAAATAAAAATTTAAATAAATTATATAAAAAAAAAAAGTCAGTGTTTCATTTTCATGATTTAATATTTCTTTGCTTGTTGCTGTTCTTGAATGGGTATGGATATAAAGCTATATATATATATATATATAGCCCTTACTGCGAGGGCCACACTTCTGACCTCTCTACGAGAGACACCTGGCCCTTCAACAATTTTTATAG